GATATATAAGAATTTAATGGTATGTTTGTAAATTTCGCAAATTAAACCAGCGAAAATGTGAGAAAGCATAGCTACCACTCCAGAAAAATCAAAACCACCAAAAAGCTAAAAACACACACTCAACAAAAAGAGGGGGGCATTTACCTGAGAAATCTTCCGGCAATCCGCCGGCGGCATCAAGTTGATCGAATTTGTACAGAGCGTAGAACGAAGAAGCAGATTCCGTCCACAAAGACACGGCAGAAACATTCCTCTTCTCACATATTCCAGCAACCCACGGCAAAAGCGCGTCTCCTATGACAACATCGACCGGCGGGTTGAGCTCGTCGAGCACTCGCTGAACTGGATCCGCCATTTTAGACATTACGGAGTTGAAGAATTCGGTGTAGTTGCTGCCGCGCGTGCGTTCGGATGGAAGGACGTTGGGGATGGAGCGGATCTGGAGGTTGGAGGGTAGGGATGGGGATGGATGATCGGAGTTGATTATGTTGAGCCATTCTTCTGTGACGATGATGGTGACGGTTAGGGTTTTGGGGGAGAGAAGGAGGCAGAGAGAGAGCATGGGGTTTATGTGGCCGCGGCCTGGGAAAGGGATGGTTACTATATGGCTTGGTGGGGAAGAAGTGGTCGGGGAAATCAGATCGGAGCGGTCGCCGGAATCCATTTCTCCGCTGATGCAAGGACAACAATTTATGTGCATTTGGAAGATACATAATTCAAGTGAGTTTCAAATATTTAAGTTCTTAATATTCATTTAAATTTTAACAATATTTTATTTTCACCAAACCAAATATCAAAATTTTTAAATTTAAAAGACTTGAATTTCATTTACTTTAGAGAAAAGTAAAATAATAAATATTTAACATCATTATTAATATAATTAATTCGTGATATTATGTTTCATTTTAATTAAATTATTTTGTTATTTTGAATATTTATTTTAGCATTCTAAAATAAATTATATTATACAATTTATTTTCATATTTTTTCATTTTGCTTTATTTTATTGAAATTAACACGTCAATAAAATAAAATTAAATAAAAATATAAGAAAATAGATGTATCTTCACAGATATTGTCATAG